TCTACGCTTTGAGTAGCGTGCCACACAGCCCTCTACGCTTTGAGTAGCGTGCCACACAGCCCTGTACGCTTTGAGTAGCGTGCCACACAGCCCTCTACGCTTTGAGTAGCGTGCCACACAGCCCTCTACGCTTTGAGTAGCGTGCCACACAGCCCTCTACGCTTTGAGTAGCGTGCCACACAGCCCTGTACGCTTTGAGTAGCGTGCCACACAGCCCTCTACGCTTTGAGTAGCGTGCCACACAGCCCTCTACGCTTTGAGTAGCGTGCCACACAGCCCTCTACGCTTTGAGTAGCGTGCCACACAGCCCTCTACGCTTTGAGTAGCGTGCCACACAGCCCATGCCTTCTCAACCCCCTCTTATCCCCCTCTTCCACCCTCACCTCCCTGCCCCTCACCTCCCCTCTCCCACCCATTCCACATCACCGCTCGAGGCAGCGCCCCAGGCCCTCACCAGCTCGCGCACGGCCACAAAGAGGTCCGCCTTGAGCTCGCCTCCCCACGCCTGCACGTACATGGCACACAGGGCACCCAGATGGCACACAGAGGGCAGAGGGGCAGAGGGGAGAGGAGAGCGCAGTGCAGCAGCAGAAGATGCGCCAGAGAGAAGAGGTGAAGGCGGGGCGGAGCGCGGCCGAGAAGGAGGGGAGAAGTTGGCGAGAAGAGTGAACATGGGAGAGAGGGGAAGGGCGCGAGCATGGGAAGGGCAAGAAGAATATGTGAGGCGGTAAGCAGTGGCATGCAGGTGCAGGTGTAAACAGCTAGTTGAATGTACTCGTTCATGCTAAGACAATGCCGCCCATTCTGGACTGGAGTGCCACCCACCTTGGACTGTAGTTTGTCCTGTAGCACCTCCATAAAGCCAGAGCTCCCCACGCCATCCTCGTCCTCCATCATCGCTGCCATGCCACAAAGGTATGCAGTGCGGTACGGTGCGGTGCGGATGAGCAAGAGAGGCGAGGGCGGAGAAGGATAAGATGGCGAGGAGCACAACGAGTGATGTAGGGCATGGCATGAGGGCATATGGGGGTGTGGGAGCATGGGGGGCATATGGGGGTGTGGGAGCATGGGGGCCATGAAGTGAGAAATGGTGAAAGCGACACAGGCAGGGACATGGCAGGAGGAGGACAAGCATGGGGGTCCAACGGAAGAGGCAGGTCATGCCAGGCCAGTGTAACAAATGAAGGCGCTGCTGTGGCTGGTGCTGATGCTGCCGCTGCCCACCTTGCTCCCACAGCTCGCGCACTGCCATGCCACACTGCCATCACACAGCACCTCACCGTATATTGTGCCGTATTCCCGTGACGACAGCGGCTCCTCGTCGGGCGGCAGCGCCAGCAGCTGGTCCCACAGCTTCTGCTCCCCGGGGGTAGTGGGTGGGGCGCAGGGGGCAGAGGGGCAAGAGGAAGGGGAAAGGGCGCAGGGGGGAGGGCGTGGGGGGCGAAGGGGAAGGGTGCAGGAAGGCAGGGAGCAGGGGGGCAAGGGAACGAGGAAGGCGCATGCAGTGAGGCAGCAGTAGGGATAGGGGGTGGGGAGAGGCAGAAGAGAACGTGTTGAGGAAATAGTGTGGTGGAAAACAGGGCATGGCAGCAGAGCATGCATGGCATGGCATGGCATGGCGCATGGCGACGTGGGCAGGAATGCGAGTGAGGCAAGCGATTGAGCTGAGAGCACAGCAGCAGGGTGGGGGACGGGAGGAGGACGAGGAGGAGGAGGAGGAGGAGGAGGAGGAGGAGGAGGAGGAGGAGGAGGGGGAGGAGGAGGAGGAGGAGGGGGAGGAGGAGGAGGAGGAGGAGGAGAGGAGGAGGAGGAGGAGGAGGAGGACGAGGAGGAGGAGGAGGAGGAGGAGGAGGACGAGGAGGAGGAGGAGGAGGAGGAGGGGAGGAGGAGGAGGAGGGGGAGGGGGAGGGGGAGGGGGAGGGGGAGGGGGAGGGGGAGGGGGAGGGGGAGGGGGAGGGGGAGGGGGAGGGGGAGGGGGAGGGGGAGGGGGAGGGGGAGGGGGAGGGGGAGGGGAGGGGGAGGGGGAGGGCACTTACGGAGAACTTGCCCTTGATGGCGCCCACCATGGCATCGCGCTCCTGGTAGGGGGGTCAACGGAGAGCAGCGCACACACAGGTGACGGGTGAGTGGTGCTGAGAGTGGCACACTTCACAAAAGGGAGGGAAAGCGAGGGACGGCTGATGATGAGTGGCGAGGTGAGGGGAGAGGAAGGAAGCGGTGTGAGAGGTGAGCGGGCGAGGGGGGGAGGGGGAACGGAAGGAAGGGTGCGATGCCGGAAGCAAGCACATGCCAGAGGGAAGAATGAGAGGTGCAGCAACGGCGGCGGTAGCTATGAGCCTGCTTGCTTGAAGAATCCGTTGCTGGGAGAAAGCAAGTGGAAGGCAATGCCATGCCTCCAATGACCCTGCACTGCATCCCTTCCCCCGCGCACCCCAACCCCTCCCTCTCGCTTCCCGTTCCCCCCCCCCCACCTCCTGCTCGCGCAGTCTATTGGTGCCACGGCTCCTCTCCTCCAGCACCATCGCCTCCTCCACATCCGAACTGCCCCACCACCCGCCCATGCCATGCCATGTGCATGCCCACGCCGCATGTAGGGAGGGGAGGGGCGTCCGGGATGACAGGCGCGGAAAGGAGGAACACAGAGAGGAGAAAGAGTGGCAGATGAGAGGCGGCAGGACATGGAAGGTGCGAGGAAAGGTGGGAAGGCGATACAAGGAAGGTGCAGGGAGGATGATGGTGTGCAGGGAGGATGATGGTGTGCAGGAAGGATGATGGTGTGCGGTGTGCGGTGGGGAGCTGAGAGGTTGGATGAGGAGCAGGGAAGGACCATGCAGAGAACAACAGATTCAAGACTGAGGTGCCCCACCACCCCACCCCTTAAGCACTGCTGCGCCCATCCCCTCTCCAACCTGCCCTGCCATATCTCCCAGCAGTACCCCTGCACACATGTCACCACCCACGCCATGCACTACAATGCACTACCCCACTTGCACGCCCTGCACCTCTCCACGTCGTATGCCCCGCCCCGCTGTGCTGCTTCACATCTGTGTTGGAGTTGGCGCTCTGGAAGGTACTGTTCTGCGTTTTGACGAAAAACGCTTGACTCTCAGTAAAACAATATTCAGGCAGACCAGTATCGAGGAATAATTCGCGATTTTACGTCGAAATCGTGAACGCAAAATCAAATTCAACATTCAGTAAAACGCACAAACCAGAAACACAACCCCCAACTCCCCCTCCTTCCCCCTCCCCTCAACCGCATTGAAACGTTATGCAAATACCAAACCCAACCGGATCACACACACACACTCACAGCACCGCAGCTCACCTCACAGCACCGCAGCTCACCTCACGACGCGGCGCGCCTCGGAGTTGTGTTGGGCGTCGGCGGCGAGGCGCACCTGCTGCAGGAACTCGTAGCGCCGCTGCTTCTCCTCCGCACTGCGCTCCAAGGAGGGGAACGCCCGGTGTGTGTACCGCCCCCCTGCCCGCTCTGCCACACACACATAAGAACGGACGAGGAGGTGAGGTTTAGAATGGAAGGGGAGTTGAAAAAGGGGTGTCGCGGGGAAGAGGGTTTGAAATGAGGGTGCAGCGGGTCCCAAATGGGTGCTCTGAAAGCACACGGGAGAGTGTTCTGGCACCACTGATGCCTGATGCGTGCTCCCTGCCATGCCGCACCCCCCAGGCGCGCAGGCACGCACCTTTGGGCGTGGGCGGCGCACCGCACCTTAAGTGCGGGCGGCGCACCTTAAGGTGCGGGCGGCGCACCTTTAGGCGTGGGCGGCGCACCTTTAGGCGTGGGCGGCGGCACGGTGATGATCTCCTGCGCGCCGTCATCGTCAGCGAGGTCCACAGTGGCCATGGCGGGGCCCGTGGCGATGTCCAGGCGCTCCAACTCCACCAGCACTCGGTCAAAGAACGACGTGCTGCCCCCGCCGCTACTGCTGCTGTCCAAAAACTGCTGCCAGCACTGCGTGTGCAGCAGCTGCGAGATCTGTGAGTGCAAGGAGGGGGGGGGGAGAGGACGTGCACGGGGGGGAGGCGTGGAGGAAGGGGCGTGCAGTGGGGAGGTGAAGGGGGGCACAGAATGTTTCGAGGCCGGTGGCAATGTCCAGGCGCTCCAGGTCCACCAACACGCGGTCAAAGAGAGAGGCCGTGCCACTGCTGCCGCTGCTGCTGCCGTCCAGGAACTGCTGCCAGCACTGCGTGTGTAGCAGCTGCGAGATCTGTGGGTGCACAAGGGGGGGGCGTGCAGGGGGGGTGGTGGAGGAAGGGGCGTGCAGTGGGGAATGTGGCGGGGCCTGTGGCGATGACCAGCCTCTCCAGCCTCTCCAGCTCCACCAGCACGCGGTCAACCGTCAAGGAAGGACGCGCTGCAGCCGCCACCGCCGCCGCCGCTGCTGCTGCTGCTGCTGCTGCTGCTGCTGCTGCTGCTGCTGCTGCTTCTACTGCTGCCGTCCAGGAACTGCTGTCTGCACTGCGTGTGCAGCAGCTGCAAAATCTGTGCATGCAGGGGAGGCGCGGAGGAGGAGAGGAGGTGTGCAGGGGGTGCGTGAAGGAGGGGGTTGGTGCTTGCTTGATGAGCACGTGGAGCAGCATGCACGTGTGAGCAGCATGCATAAATGTGACATGACGGGCAATGCAAAGCACCACGGACAGCCGTGCCCTTCCCTCCCGTGTGTGGCACTCACGAGTGGTTCCTCTGTGTTGCCAGTGACCTTGGCTCGCTTGCGGAAGAAGCTGGCCTTGTTGAACGTCGACTTGAGATGGCCTGATGGCTCCACCACCTTGTCCTGCGCGCCCGACGCACAGGCGGGGGGCGAGGCATGGGGAGGGGGAAGGGAGGCAAGAGAGGGAGGTGGAGCGGGAAGAGGAAGTGAGAAGAAGCTGGCCTTGTTGAACGTCGACTTGACGTGCCCCGATGGCTCCGCCACCTTGTCTTGCGCGCCCACTCACACGCACAGAGCGAGAGGCGTAGGGGGGGAGGAGGGGGGGGGGGGGGGGTAGGGGGGGAGGAGAGGGAGGTGGACTGGGAAGCGGCAGTGAGAAGAAGCTGGCCTTGTTGAACGTCGACTTGACGTGCCCCGATGGCTCCGCCACCTTGTCTTGCGCGCCCACTCACACGCACAGAGCGAGAGGCGTGGGGGGGGGGAGGGGGGGGGGGGTAGGGGGGGGGGGGGAGGAGAGGGAGGTGGACTGGGAAGCGGCAGTGAGAAGAAGCTGGCCTTGTTGAACGTCGACTTGACGTGCCCCGATGGCTCCGCCACCTTGTCTTGCGCGCCCACTCACACGCACAGAGCGAGAGGCGTGGGGGGGAGGGGGGGGGGGGGGGGTAGGGGGGAGGAGAGGGAGGTGGACTGGGAAGCGGCAGTGAGAAGAAGCTGGCCTTGTTGAACGTCGACTTGACGTGCCCCGATGGCTCCGCCACCTTGTCTTGCGCGCCCACTCACACGCACAGAGCGAGAGGCGTGGGGGGGGGGGGAGGGGGGGGGGGGGGGGTAGGGGGGGAGGGAGGGAGGTGGACTGGGAAGCGGCAGTGAGAAGAAGCTGGCCTTGTTGAACGTCGACTTGACGTGCCCCGATGGCTCCGCCACCTTGTCTTGCGCGCCCACTCACACGCACAGAGCGAGAGGCGTGGGGGGGGAGGAGGCGGGGGGGGTTAGGGGGGGAGGAGAGGGAGGTGGACTGGGAAGCGGCAGTGAGAAGAAGCTGGCCTTGTTGAACGTCGACTTGACGTGCCCCGATGGCTCCGCCACCTTGTCTTGCGTGCCCACTCACACGCACAGAGCGAGAGGCGTGGGGGGGGAGGAGGGGGGGGGGGGGGGGTAGGGGGGGAGGAGAGGGAGGTGGACTGGGAAGCGGCAGTGAGAAGAAGCTGGCCTTGTTGAACGTCGACTTGACGTGCCCCGATGGCTCCGCCACCTTGTCTTGCGCGCCCACTCACACGCACAGAGCGAGAGGCGTGGGGGGGGAGGAGGGGGGGGGGGGGTAGGGGGGGAGGAGAGGGAGGTAGACTGGGAAGCGGCAGTGAGAAGAAGCTGGCCTTGTTGAACGTCGACTTGACGTGCCCGATGGCTCCGCCACCTTGTCTTGCGCGCCCACTCACACGCACAGAGCGAGAGGCGGGGGGGGGAGGAGGGGGGGGGGGGTAGGGGGGGAGGAGAGGGAGGTGGACTGGGAAGCGGCAGTGAGAAGAAGCTGGCCTTGTTGAACGTCGACTTGACGTGCCCCGATGGCTCCACCACCTTGTCCTGCGCGCCCAGCGCACAGGGGGCGAGGGGGGAGAGGGGGTGTGGGCAGGGTGTGCAGCGCAGGAGCATGTACAGTGCAGCATGGGATGCGGTGATGCAGGGGATAGCAACAGCATGGCATGAGCAACAGACGAGACCACCAAAAGAAAGAGCTCCATATTGCACTCGCATAGCACTGCATGATACTGCATGCATGGCAGCACATAACAGCGCATCATACCACAAAATGTCTGTAGCTGCAGAGGATGGAGGCGAAGAATCGAAAGAATATCAACCTGGCAGGCGGGACGGGAGGGACGAGAGCGGAGAGAGCGGATGGGAGGGCGGGGAGGGGAAGAAAGTGAGCAGGAAAGAGAGTGAGAAGGAAAGAGAGTGAGCAGGAAAGAGAGTGAGCAGGAAAGAGAGTGAGGGCAGGCTGTGGAGAATGAGGACAGGAATCACACAGGACACGACAGCACAGCAGCCATCATGTTCACCGTCCTCATCCCCCCTCCTCCACCACCAAGTCACCGCACCGCACCGCACGTCCCCCCTCGTGGCCTCACCGGATCTCGCGGTCGTGCAGGCGCCCCCAGGGCCGTCTGAACTTGTGCAGGTCGCAGCTGAAGTCGCGCGTGCGCGCCTGGTCCAACGCCATCAGGTCCGGAGCCACCAGCTGCAGCAGCGCCTCCCGAACCTGCAGGCTCGAGCGCAAGAGGCAGGAGATTGAAGGGTGAGAGTGGAGGGGGAAGCTGCAACCCTCGCCTCCTCTCCCGCTCATCCCCTCACCCCAACTTCTTCCACCCCCCACAACCACCCCCAGAGCGCGCACCTGTGTGTTCTCGGGTTCGGGCAGTGGGGGAATGGTGTCGGCGTCGTCGTCGTAGCCACTGGTGGTGATGGCAATGCGGTTGGCGTCCAGATCCACCACCATCACCTGCCATGCACTCACACACACACACAGACGGCAGCAGACGGCGGGCGGGGCAAAGGGGGGGAAGGACGGGTAAGGACGCGCGCGGGTGAGCAGCATGACATGACATGGCAGACAAGCGAGGGCGAGGGGAGGTGCATGAGAGCAGGCATGGGGCCGTGCCGTGGATGGATGAGCCCCCATCAGGTGCTGCCTGCCGTGCTATGCTATGGCACGCACGCGTTGCAGGCAGCTGCCCACAACAAGCAAGGCTTGGCATCCCCATTGCACTGCACACAACCCTCATCCCTGAACCTCTATTCTCGAAACCCTGAGCTGGGAATGTTGAAGAGTGAAGACGGGAGCCCCAAGGCAGAGGTGTGTCGTGTGGTGTGGTGTGGCCCCGGGTGACCCACTCATAACGTCACTCACCCCGCCCGGCAGGTCATGGTCCGTCCACCGCGTCGGCACGATGCCAAACAGGAAGCTTCCCGGCATGTGCACGAGCTCCAGCTTGTTGAGCGGCAGCACGGGCGTGTAGGGGTACTGCGGGGGGCGGGGGGGCGAGGGCGAACGGGGGGAGTAAAAGGGGACGGGGGATGGAGGCGGAGTGGTGGCGGGAGGAGGGAGAGAAGTGGGCAGTAAGAAGGGGCAGGAGTGGGTGATAATGAGAGGTTGGAAGTGAGGGTTCATACAGTCACGGGCATGGATGGATGTTCATGTTTTCTTCCACGCCACCACATTCCAAGACTTGTGCTCACTACCCAACTCCGGTTCGGTTCGACCCGAACCCATTGGAGTTGGATACTTGGTGAGCCCCACGTGGATGCGCGCATATAAATAAATAAATATATATATATATATATATATATATATATATATATATATGTGTGTGTGTGTGTGTGTGTGTGTGTGTGTGTGTGTGTGTGTGTGTGTGTGTGTGTGTGTGTGTGTGTGTGTGCACTGTGCATGCATCCATGGATCCCAAGCCCATGCATGGCAGTGTGGTGCATGCAGCGCAGCTCACCGCCCACTTGAAGGGGTAGATGAGGTGCGACACCGACTCCGCCACCAGTGTGAGCAGCTCGTACCTGCACCGCCACACACAGGTGGGCAGCGGAGGGCACACGGGAGGCGGGGACCAGTACGCGAATCAAGCGGCGCGGGGGAGGGGGGGACGTGCATGGAGACATGAAGAAAGGACGGGACGGGGGATGCGGATGAGCGAGCAGGGAGGGAAAGGCACACTTCAGAAGCGTGGAGGCCATCCATCATGGACGCACCCACCTCACTCACCAGGTGGCTCTCACACTCACTGGATGGCTCTCACACTCACCGGATGGCTCTCACACTCACCGGATGGCTCTCACACTCACCGGATGGCTCTCACACTCACCGGGTGGCTCTCACACTCACCGGCTGGGTGGGTATGAAGGGTTGAAGCGAGGTAGGTGCATTGCGCGCACTCACTGTGTGGCGCGGAGGAGGATGCGCTTCTCAAGCAGCACGGCGGTGACGAGCAGAATGATGTTGTCCACGTCCAGGCTGCGCACCAACGGGTGGAACGACAGCTGATGCCGCATGCCACCGCACACCACACACACACACAGGACGTGGAAAGGGGAAACACAAGGGGGGCCACATGGGGGAGTGGCAGGGGTGGGAAGCAAAAGGCAATGAGGTGAAAAGGGACGGGGTTGGCGATGGGCGGGGTGAAAGGTGGAAGGAAGCATGAGGATGGGATGGGAGTGACTCACCCTCACGGACCAACCCACCCACCCACCCACCCACCCACCCACCCACCCACCCACCCACCCACCCACCCACCCACCCACCCACCCACCCACCCACCCACCCACCCCCACCCACCCACCCATTTACCCACCCACCCATTTACCCACCCACCCAGGGGCCCAAGTGCAACCCTGTTGGAAACATTCACGTTCCACGCATCAAACCCCGTCACCTCACCGCCCATCATCACCGTCAGTATGCCTCATCAAGTCTCACAATCTCCCGTGCCCCCACTCTCACACGAGCAGTAGCGCACCCCCCCGTGCCCCCTGCCCCCCCATGCCCCTGCCCCCCCATGCCCCCTGCCCCCCCATGCCCCCTGGCCCTCCATGCGCCCTGCCTGGCCCATGCCCCCCAGGTCGCGCATGCCCGCTCCCATGACTGCATGGCCAACATCTCCCCATTCCCCTGCCCCCCCATGCCCCCTGTGAGCCTCGCCTGCACGGTGGGCAGGGTGGCGGGAGGGGGAGCCTCGCAGAAGAGGAGGCACTTCTCCACGGAGAACACCACAGAGCGCCCAAATGACTGCATGCCCCCATTCACCCATGCCCCCCATGCCCCCCATTCCCCCATGCCCCCCATGCCCCCCATTCGCCCATGCCCCCCATGCCGCCCATGCCCCCCATGCCCCCCATGCCCCCATGCCCCCCATGCCCCCCATACCCTCATTCATCCATGCCCCCAGTGCGGCGCACCTGCACAGCGGGCAGGGTGGTGGGCGGGCCGCGGCGGAGCCTCGCAGAAGAGGAGGCGCTTCTCCACGGAGAACACCACCGAGGCTCGGGCAGTGGCAACGCCGTCACCAGGTGCTGCACCATGCCCCCCTGCCCCCATGCCCCTCCATGGCTCCATGCCCCCTGTGAGCCTCACCTGCACGGCAGGCAGGGTGGCGGGCGGCGGCGCCTCGCAGAAGAGGAGGCACTTCTCCACGGAGAACACCACCGAGCGCTGCCCGGGCTCGGGCAGTGGCACTGCCGTCACCAGGTGCTGCACCGTGTCCCATACTGGCTGCCTGTGGGGGTGGGGGAGGGGGGAGGGGGGAGCAGGAGGCAGCAGGAGGATGAGGGGTGGTGGTGGTGGTCGGGGGGTGATGAGGACACTGCCTGCAGTAAAGGCATCGAGGCACAGTGTACCATTGCCCACACTCACCCCCTCTGACCGCACTCACTCCACTGGCCACAATGAGATCACCACATTGATTGACCCCAGCGAGTGACTGGCACCCACTCCCCTTGCGCCCCGTTGCCCCCCTCCCCCCGACCCCCTCACCCCATTCCCAAGGACTTGCTCCCCCCTGGCCTCTCACGTGCAGCTGGCAGTGCAGAAGCACATCAAGTGGATTTCCTCGAGCACCAAGGTATGAAGGTGTGGAACAAGGGCCAGTGTGATGCAAGGCAAGGCACAGGCCCCCACTACCAATTGCCCCCGTTGACCCCGTTAACCACACATTGAGCCCCCATTGACCCCCCGTTGACCCCATTAACCCTACTGCCTCACGTGCAGCCGGCAGTGCAGAAGCACATGCGGTGGATCTCCTCAAGCGCCTGGGTGAAGGTGTGGAAGAAGGGCCAGTGGCTGACGAGGCACAGGCACTTGTCGACGTAGTGCGAGGCGGGGGATGCCGTATGCCTCCGCCACGTCCTCCTCCACTGGGTCCCTGAACGCCACCACCGTCACATACACCTTCGTGCCCACCGTGTCTGGGCGGGAGGGGGACGAGGGGGGAGGAGGGAAGGCGCGCAACAAGGGGGGGAGGTGGGAGGGGAGGGGTTGGTGAGGTGAAGGTGACTTGTGAGTTGACTCCTCCACCGAGTCCCTGAACGCCACCACCGCCACATACACCTTTGTGCCCACCGTGTCTGGGCCAAGGGGGACGGGGAACGGGCGCAAGGAAGGGACGCGCAATTTGTGGTTGGAGCGAGCAGCAAGTGGCAGCGGTGGGCATGGCATCCCAGGATGGCCTCATGTGCGTGGTGCAGTGCACGCACGGCCTTGCTCGTTTTCCAGTCCATGCACTCCCCGTGCACCCACCCACCTGTGATGCCCCACCCACCCACCTGTCATACCCCACCCACCCACCTGTGATGACCATGGGGTAGGAGCGCGGCTGCGTGCTTTTGTCGCCGGAAAACGGTCCTCTCTCGTAGAAGCGCAGCCCCCGCGGCATCACCACCTGCTCGCCCGCGGAGGGAGAGGGGGATGCGTTGACATGCGTCGCAGAGAGGGGAAGGGGGGTGGAGGTGGGGGAGGGGAGGGGAGGCGGAGGAGAGTGGAGGGGAGCGGAGGGGAGCGGAGGGGAGGGAGGGAGGAGAGGAGGAGGGGAGCGGAGGGGGGAGGGGAGGAGAGGGGAGGGGAGGGGAGGCGAGCAAACACGGGTCTCAAAAGAGGGGAGAGCCGGAGGGAGGGCGGGAGAAATTGAGGCAGGGAACGGGACGGGAAGGAGTGATGAAAGCAGTGAGGGAGGGAGGGAGGGAGGGAGGGAGGGAGGGGGGGAAAGATAGCAAGAGTGGGAGACAGGCGTCGAGCGAGAGAATAGGGAGTGGGTGAGACACGAGGAGGGGAACCACAGGAAGCCATCCCATGCCCACGGCCAAACATGGGGCGACGGGAGAGGGGGATGACAGGGTGGCGAGGAGTGGGAGCGCGTAAAGGGAAGGGCGCGGGGAGGGAGGGGCGCGCAACATGGGCAGGCGGCGGAGGGCGCGAGGAGCGGCGCACCATGGGGAGGCCCTCGAGGACGCACCATGGGGAGGCCCTCTGGGACGCCGAATTTCTTGTGCTCCTTGGGCGGGTAGAAGTCGAGCGGCGTCATCTGCGGCTGGTACAGCACGGGGTCGCCGTCACGCGCCGTGACGCCGTGGAAGCCGCGCTGGCCGTCCATGGTGCGCACCTCGGCGCCCAGCCCGCACACCACGAAGTAGTCGATCAGCCGCGTCGCCCACCCCGGCAGCGCGCGCGCCGCCGGCTGCTGCTGCTGCTGGTCCGGGCGGTGCTGCTGCAGCGCCTCCGCCGCGGCGTGCGCGCGGTCCTCCGCCTGCAGCACGCCCGCCGACGCCGCTCGGCGGAGGTCCACATGCCGCCCCCCCGCCTCCTCCGCGGAACCCATGGCGGCGCGCACGGGGAGTCGTAAGGCACGTCGCTGCCCGCGCGATTACAACCGTTGCACGCACATTGCAGTAAAGGAAGCGTTAGCACATAGATTTGACGTCCTACACCGAGGGTCGTGTATCGAGGGCCCTAAAGCAAGAATCCTTTATCGAGAGACGTATATAAAGGGTAATATATCGAAGGAGATATATGAAGAGTCCTATCACGAGGGTCCAATACCGAGAATCGTATATCGAGAATCGTATATCGAGGGTCCTATCTCAAGGATCCTTTATTGAGGTCCCTATATCGAGAGTTAGTATGTCGTAAGAGCTGTAAAAAGAGGGTCTTCTCCTAAGACTCCTGAAGCGCAGCAAAGGTGAACAAGTAGCGAGAGCACGCGACGACACCCAGCGCTCAAGGAGCCTCTCGAATCGACACCTTGCGGCGGTCAAGGGTTATGCACTGCGCACACAATTGCAGGCAGCGCGAAAACTGAATGCCGCTGCTGGCCCTACCCCACTCGCACGCGACGTGGGTCCGAACGATGAGCGACGAAGCACAGGTGGCGTGGCAGCAACGGCAGTGTGTGTGTCTCGAAATGGGATGTTATGGCGGGAAAAAGGAGTGAGAAGGGACAGAGGAGATGGGAGAGAGGAAACAGCGACAGATGGAGTGGCGGGCGGGTTACCACCACGGAGGAGTCGGTCTCGTTCGCCATGACTCGCGATCGGCCAGCGGGCGGGAGGGAGTCATGTGGCGAGGTGCGTGGCGGAGGGCGAAGGCTGGCGGAAGCAGGGGGCTGGCGGAGGGTAATGGCCGGGGAAAGGCGGAGCAAGTCCAGCTTAGCTCCGCCCGCGGTATGGGTGAAGGGGGAATTTGTTGGTTCGGTGAGTGGTTTACGTGCGACAAAATCGGCAGGGCCGCTATTGGATGTACGAGGAAAGCGACCTTGCGAATGTAACAGAGGGTGGGGCTCATGAAAGTTATAATTGTAAGGAAAAGGCTATTCCTTCCATCGCGCCACACTACATACCGCGTACACGACTATTTCTGCCACTGTACAGTAGCTGGTTACCACCTTGCGACACTCGCCTCGTCACTGTTCCCCGTCACGACCATCGTCGCCCAAACCACCGAGTTCGGTCATCCCTAGGTTTTGAACTCCCCCGTTCCATAAAACTTTTATTTTTCCCTTGTCTTATCAATCAGAATTTTGTATTTGAACCTACCAGATAAATCAGACGAAGTCAAAAAAATCAGTCACCAAAATGTGCGAAGTAAAGAAAAATCATAAGTTATCTGTGTGGGCATCCACTTGTATGTCAGTCTCCTCGCGCCAGGGCTGACGTTTCATTTTGGGCCTCCTTGATTCCGGGGAAAAATTCCCCCTTGTATTATGAGGGCACGTTTTTCACAAGGTACCGTATCCCCCCGGATATAAGCGCCACCCTAGGATAAGCGCCTGGCGCTTTTAATTGGCATATGGCGCTTATATCCGCTCCTCGATTATAAGCGCACCCCCTGAAGGCTTACGTATTATAAGAGCCACTATTTGTATTAGTTTTTATAAAGTTACTGAAATATCTGTAGCGAAACACACTATTTGCATCCTCACATTGTGAAATTTCGACCCTTCACCCTCGCGCGACTCACTGCCTCACCCTCGCGCGACTCACTGACTGCGCGTCCAGTCAGAATGAGCTGTCATGGGGCGAAATGACTCATTCTGACTGTGTGTGTTGGCAGCTTGCAAACTTACGCGAGATACTTCTTCACACCTACTATGATCTTGACTCGATTGAAATCGCAATGACAAGATGAACACTTAGGAGTGAAAACAACTAGATTTCATATATCTCATTGTATAAGCCCCGGCGCTTATAAATTTACTCGATTATAAGCCCACCCCCCTAAAAAAACATGTTTTATTATTGCCCCCCAAGGGGGTATATCCGGGGGGTGACGGTAGCTACTCTGATAGCACAGTGTCCAACACAATCTTACTCTGATTCGTCAAGGTTCACAGCATGAGATAAGGATTGCTTTTAAATTTGCACTACACTTTACAATGTTTCATACATCATGGTCAAACTTTCCTACACTATCTAGTGCACGGGCTTGTAAATGTGGTACACCTCCTCCACGTCCTCATCGTCCGATAGGAAGGGGTTGTCCTCCTCCTCCTCCTCCCCCATGACCTCCTGATTGTCACCCAGGTCCCGTTCCACTTCATCCTCCTCCTCCTCCCCCTCATCCTCCCGTTCCAGTTCAAGCAGCCACATCTTGACCCTCCTTTTGCTTCTCCTTCCTGTCCCTCTTTGCCACTGCCAGCTTCAGGCTCTTCGCAGGGCGCCTCCTCCGCATGGACCTCCAGACCTCCAGTGCTTCCTGCCAGTCAATCTCATTCTTCAGAAGCGAAATCTACGTGAGCTCGCCCAGTCGCGCATTGCAGAGGGCTCCTCGCACCCAAGACTTGATGACGTTTTGCCTGGAGAAACCCCTCTCGCACTCCAGGGTTGAGAGGGGGAGCACAGCGAGCGCCTGCCACAGAATGATGAGGTTGGGCCATCTCCTGCAAGGCACATTCAAGCGCAAAACGAGAATAAACGTTAATCATGCAAACTAACACTCGGTAACAGCATTGGCCTAAGCAGAGCACTACCTCTTGGACTCTGCACTCCCGAGAAAGTTGGGCAGCCCCTGCAAGAAGCGCTCCAGCTCGTGGTGTGTCTCCATGATCGCACAGAATGTCGGGAGCTCCGTCTCTGCTGCCTTGAACTCGAATCCCAGCAGCTTGTTGCGGAAAATCTTGCTGCATCCCTGCAGCCAATCACGACACTTCTTCTCTCGCCGAGCCTTGATCTTCAGCCACTTCCCCGCCCGGAACAGCTTCGTCGGCCCCAGCTTCCCCAAGTCATCCAAACGGTCATTGAGGTTGTCCACGAAATCCCGGGCGAATCTGCGGCACATCTTCACACAATCGGCGTAGGTGCTTCCCTGCTTGTGCCTCTTGGTTCAGCTTCCTCTCATGCATGGTGTAGAGGTGGTTGATTGGGCGTCCCTCCCCGTCTACGCCTCGCACCCGGACCTGCTTGCCTCCACCCTCCTTGTGGAGCTTGAGAAAGTTGACAACCAACTTTTGCCCTCTCCTCCGAACGGCTTGTCGTTCGTCAAGTACCGCTCCGTCAAATCCTCCGTGGTGGACTCAATGGTCTTCGCAATCTCTGTCACATCCAGTTGTCACAGTACACACATTGAGAATAGGAAATACGGTTAGCAGCAGTATAAGATTCTATTCACAGTCAAAGGCCATCGCATACTGGTAAAAAAACTCACCTCACGCCTATGGAAGCAACGGTTTATGTCGTTCATGTCGACGAGGATGTCCGTCAGGAAGAACACGCAGAATTGGAACTTGTAGCACATCACGATCTCATAGGCCTTGCGGTTGTGCTCCCACGGCAGCACGATGCAAGCGCTGAGGACCTTGCACAACTAGCGAACCGTATCCTCTCGTGACAGCCACTGAACCGTGTGGATCCCCTGAACTTCAAGGTTCGTGTTGTAGATCACTCGCTGCAGGTACTTGAAGCGTTGACTCCAGACGCTTGAGTTTCTGAGCAGCGGCGCCACAGTGCGCACCACCTTGTCGACCATTTCAAGGTCCGGATTCAACTCATCGGCGTCCTTCACAGCCAGAGCCTCTCTGTAGGAAGCAGGGGACATAGTTCAACAGGTGTGATAAAAATTAATACACGTACATGGGTATGTAAAATATCTTGCAAACACACTGGTGGGCGATGCAGTGACAGGAAAAAAGGCCCGAAGACGTGCCACCAATCCGTTATCCTTCCCCATCATGACCGACGCCCCGTCCGTGCTGATGCCAATGATCTTGGACACATCGACAACTGCGGAGCGGAGATGGTTCAACATCACCTCGACTAGAGACCCTGCATCACACCTCTCAACCGTCAGCAAGGTAATGAACTCGCATGCGACTTGGCGATTCTTAAAAAACGCCAGGTAAACAATCATGTGTTTTCCTCGTGTTCGGTCGGTGCTCTTGTCGAAGCTGATGCCCAGGAAGGGGGAAGATTGGATGTGGCCCATCTGCACCCGCATGAGGTAGGTACTGATGTTGTGAACCATCTGCTGGAAGCCGTAGCTGCACATGTGTGAGTCAAATGGTAAGTAACATTTTAATAAAACCTTCAAACACAACAAACATAACAAAGCAACACAACAAAACAACGACATACCGTGCCAAATAGACCAAGATGCCTCATCAGCTTCGGGAACATGCTGATCGGCGCATCGCACTGGCACAGAAACTAAACGAACCGCATGAGTCGAATAGTGCGCCGCCCTTCGATGTCTGAGTTGATGAAGTCTGAAATCACTTGCTGACCCTTGCAGATGCCCCCCGCAATCTTCATTTGCAGGTCCACCGCCGCCGTGTGAGCGTCCGTGTGGTCGTGCGCCCTGAACGGCTACGTCTGCAAGTCACGACCACCGTCATCACCTTGCCTAGCGTACTTCGTGTTCTCTTTCCCGTACGACATGTAGATGCTGCACTTCACATAGGAAATTCCATCCTTGGTTTCCCCAAACACCAGCCACGAAAACATGTCCGACCACTTCGTCTTGAAGTTGTTACTCGCCTCAAGGTACATCTGCTCTCTCAGCTACATCTTGGTAAGTGCGGGCGAGCCAGTGTCTGCACAGACAGGGGATATCACCTTCCTCCAGGATCTCAGCGACATCTAGTGGTGGATCAGCCGGCTTGTCAGGCAGAGGAATACGGCGGCCTTCGACGACCAGGGTACTCTGCGCCCATTTCCCAGATCGCGCTCGCTTGGGAGTGGAAGAAGCCGACGGAGGACCAAGGGACACCCGCACCGTGCTAGGAGTGGGACTAGGCGAGGGCGGTGGGGGATCTTTACTGTAAGAAGCAACAGCAAGGGGTAGAGTGAATGCGGCGGGGCGGGGAGATTCAGACAGAGTGGCGGTTACTATAGTTGCAGAGTCATGAACAGTAGACCTAGGAGGATCGGGTGGTACTCGAGCACCGTTAGTTCTAAGAAAATCGAGCCCAGAGCGGGAGGCATCTGAAGCTTTCTCTGGCAGGGTAGGCTCTGTGGGTTTCGCCGGTAAAGGTGGCTCATCTTGGCCAGCCTGAGGAGAAGCATCGTTGGCCGGCAGGCCTTCCATGGCGTTGAGATAGAAGAGCGGTGGAGCGAGAGAAAGTGCGAGAATAAACGGACGAAATGAAAATAAAAGCAGCACTTCCACGAGCCTGGCTGGGGGTGGAGGGAAGGAAGAGATGGTTGGAGATGGCGGGGTCATCAAGAAACTTCCGTGTCGCCACGCCACGAAATTGATGGCTCGAGTCGTCAATGAATTCGGCCTGCGATGTAAGGACGAATGCATTGAACGACTGCCTGACTGCCAGCCCCGACTGTCAAGATGCCTCTCTGGCCAGTGAAAGAGGCATGCTGTGCATTGCGCGGTGCGCGTGGTAGCAAACCATCTTTGTCTGGTTAACAGCTGTGCTATACAACGGTGCTGTACAACGTGGTGTTGGGTTAGTTGTCAGTATTACGTCAGTCCTGCGCGTGAGAGGGGTCCCTCACATGGGTGCAAGCGAAGTCATGATTGCGCACATGGGGGGTTATCGGGACAAAGTTTCAATGAACCTTAGTCCCGATACCGTCGCATTCAGGATCCATAAGATGTGTACTCTATATTGACAAAGTCAGTAAGAACACTACTCTTAGCCTGGATACAATATTTCAGGGTTCGCTAAAGCACTATTCTAAATGGATCAGTGTTCACAATTAAGAAATTCTGAGATTGCAGGGACCACCAAGTGACAAGCCTGTAATCACCCTGAAATCAAGGTAATTACCCTGATAATATCAGCCCTGCCTCACGCCCATGCGCACCCCTTCCGTGTTCCATTGCGTTCACATCAGTGCGTGATTCCGGAACAGTCGCTCCCCTCATATCTACGTCTGCGGCGTCATGGGAGGCTGGGGCGATAACAGCAGCAGCAGCGACAGCAACAGCAGCCTTAACCGCAACAGGAGCCACCGCCACCACTGCAGGTTTCTACGCCTCCTCCCTCACATCCTGAACAGCAGCCACCGCCACCACCACAGGTCCCTATGCCTCCTCCCCTGCGTCCTCAACAGAAGCAGCAGCAGCAGCGGCAGCAGCAGCAGTAGCAGCAGCAGTAGCAGCAGTCGCTGTAGCGGCAACACCAACCGTCGCACCCTCATACTAGTACTCCTCTGTAGTCACCTCGGGCGGCGGCATCAGCGCCACAGGCTCCGTCGGCAGATCCGCCAGCTCTTCCCCCTGTTCAGCCCTCCCTGCATCTGAATGGAAGACGGGGTTGCCTTGTAAAACCCGGGATTCGCATTGGAGTCGTTGGGGTGAGTATCCACATGTCAAGAAGCTGCTTTGCGTCGAGCAACGCGTTCTGACCGTGGAGACGTGCCTGGACCATTTGGCAACGGTCCTGGGCCAGCTCCACGTGTCCCCTCTCTGATCCGGCAAGGTCCACAAAGGACAGCTGGCAGTGGGGAGGGCAGAGGGCAGAGGGGAGAACAAAGGAGAAGAGAAAGGGGGAACAGGGGAAAGCGAACAGGGGGACATGCGTACACGTCAGTTGTCTCAAGCATGATCGACAGCACCAGGTGCGAGCATGCTCTGTCCCTCACACACGCTCTTACACGCTCGCATACACATGTGCCTTTCCCCAGAGCACACACCTTTCCGCAGCACATGTTTTGAGTCCGCAAGTCCGTAGTCTCAATCACAATTGATAGCACCAGGTGCGACCGAGAGCTCACAACGCCCATCTGCATGTCTGCCACGACGCGCCTCTCCATGCCCCCCCTCCAACTTGATGAGCGTGGCGTTCTCCACCACCACCATGCCGTGGGAAAACAGGGGAACATGCACATGGACAGAGTGGTTGAGAGTGGTTGAGAGAGGTGAAGTGCGGTTTAGCACAGTGTAGAGCAAACACAACAAGCTTCTCCATGCCTCCCTGAATTACTGCCTCCAAGTGCGAAAGGCATTGCACCTCGATCAGCGTTGCATTCTCCACGTGCCCTGGGGGAAAATAGGGATATGCAGAGGGTATAGGGCGGTTGAGGGTGGTACAAAGTGGTGCAAAACAACCACCCATTCACCACTCTAAGTCTCAATAGTGTGGATTCGTACAAGCAATGTTAAGCAGCGCAAAACAAAACATCAACCTTGTAGGCAATTCAAAGGTGGCCCGGGTGTGCATCACTGCTTAGATTAACATAGCTGAGAACGTCCGTGCTCAATACAGTAGAGTCGCATGGTACATCTCAGATATGTCGCGCGCTTTATGATACGTACCTTGGCGTCCTTCTTGATCTCCAGTTTTACGGCATTCTTGGGCTGTAGATGGTCTTAGAGCGTATCCAGCATGTACACCTGCCACGAGGCGAGGGGTTCAGGGGAAATGCGAGGCAAACAGACAAGGAGTGAGCAAGTAAGGAGACCGGAGGTCGGACTTAGCAACAGCATGCCTTGAAGGGCATAACAGAAGGAGGAGAAATAAAGGGCGGAACAGGGAGGAGAAACACAGGGTAGAACAGAAGAGGGGAAACCGAAGAGCAATGCAGGGCAAAACACAAAAGGGACACCGATGCTGGGCAGAACAACAGAAGAGGGGCAAACGAGGAGCAATATAGAGTAGAACAGAAGAGGGGAAAAACAAAGAGCAATTCAAGGTAGAACAAAAGAGGGGAAAACAAAGAGCAAACATCCACCATGAAAGCAAACAGCCCACTACACGTGCAGCTGGTAGCTCATGCGCCCATTGTTTTTTTGGAGGCAGTTAACGAGCTCTTGCATGGCACGCGGTGTGAGCCCAGGGTTTTTGTCCCCTCCGCAGATCATAAAAGTTTTGCCGCTGCCCGTCT